TTTATTCTAAGGACATTATCTGTATATTTAGAACATCAGATAAATCTGACCAAAATAGCATACTATCATTTTGAACAAGGATGTTATATACATATAGGTCCTGTTACAATATACAATAATTGCCTGCAGGGCACCTATATCTAACAAACTCCCACTTGCACTAAGGCCAATTATAGTATCTAATACCCAATAGCTCAACAAGTTTCTCAAATTGTGAACGAGCAATTGCCTTTGTGAATGGATCTGCTATATTATCTTTTGTGTCTACTCTTTCAATCTTGATCTCCCGGCGATCAACTATCTCCCTGATCAAGTGATACTTCCTCAGAATGTGTCTGGACTTATGGTGAGATCGGGGTTCCTTTGTCAGAGCTATTGCAGCATTATTATCACAGTATAAAGGTACTGGATCTTTAATGGTGGGAACAACTTCCAGCTCTAAAAGGAACTTCCTCATCCAGACAGCTTCTTTAGCTGCATCATTAGCTGCAATGTATTCAGCTTCCATAGTCGAGTCTGCTACTGTATCCTGCTTGGAACTTTTCCAGCTGACAGCTCCTCTATTGAGGGTGAAAACATATCCTGATACAGACTTACTATCATCGATATCGCTCTGAAAGCTTGAGTCGGAAAAAGCCTCCATTCGGAGGTCACTTTTACCGTATATCAAAAATAACTCTTTAGTCCTTTTAAGGTACTTAAGTATATTCTTGACCGCTTTCCAGTGCTCTTCTCCATGATCAGATTGGTATCTACTTACCAAACTGAGTGAATAAGCGATATCTGGTCTAGTACATAACATGGCATACATGATCGATCCTACTGCCGAGGCATAAGGAATTAGACTCATGCGTTTCCTCTCTTCATCAGTCCGGGGAGACATCTTTTTAGAGAGGGAGATTCCAGGAGATGCAGGTACAAAACCTTTCTTGGAATTTTCCATGCTAAACCGTTTTAGCACTTTGCCAATGTATCTAGATTGCGATAATCCTAACATCCTTTTAGATCTATCTCTATAGATCTGAATACCCAGTATACAGGATGCTTCACCTAAATCTTTCATGGAAAATCTTTTTGATAGCCAAATTTTAACCGCTTGTAATGACGGTATGTCATTACCGATTAAGAGTATATCGTCTACATATAAAATAAGAAACGATATAATACTCCCAATTATCCTTTTATACACACATGGTTCATCTGGATTTTTGATGAAACCAAACTCTTTGATAGCATTACCGACTAATCAGATCTCTTCATTACGATCACTATCCGAAATGTCTGATAGTCTAGTATTTATTCTAAGGACATTATCTGTATTTTTAGAACATCAGATAAATCTGACCAAAATAGCATACTATCATTTTGAACAAGGATGTTATATACATATAGGTCCTGTTACAATATACAATAATTGCCTGCAGGGCACCTATATCTAACAGAGAGGATGGAGAGATTCCACTAAATCAAGGAGAGTACAAAGGGTTACAATCGCACAAAACTCACAAACTAACCCTCAACCAAAGCTCTCAACTTGCTCACAATATCTCCCTCTCTTAATGCTCAAAAGTCTCTCTAACCTCTAATTACAACTCTCCTTATTTTTTTATGATTGATTCTAATCTCCATATATATAGAAAAACTAAAACCAAAACTGACTAGGAATCCTAAAACCAAAAACAAAACAAATTAGGAATCCTAATAACATCATGTTACCAAAATAGATTAGGAATCCTAATAACCTCATGTTATCAAAATAGATTAGGAATCCTAATAGATTAGGAATACTACTATCCAACAATTCTCCACCTCGGCGAAGTATTCCCAAAACTGAGCCGACACCAACATGAGCACTAATGTGTCGTCTCACCAAATTCGGCTGCACTAATGTGGTTACCTACGTACCCCCTCTCCCAAGGGATCAAGCCGCCCGTAGTTCATCCAAATGGCCTCCTAAGGCCTCAATCCACTAGAAGAGCTCGCAACCATTCTCCAACATCACGATCAAGTCTATGGCTGATAGCATCTCCAATGGCCCCAAACTGAAACAATCCAAATATCTCCATCTGTGATGAGCCAATGGCCATATCCAGACTCCATCTATCAGTTGCACTTGAATCGATCAACCTATCATCTGCATCCAAATCAACACGATTCCCAATCTGTGTCACATCAGCTAGAATCCCAAATGATACAATATGATCTGGAGTCTCCACCCAACGTGGAGTAGCATCACTCTCCATCCGCTGCGATGTCCTAAAGATCTGATCACCACTCTCCACCTGCCGAGAGTCAAACGTGACATACCTGCTCAGAACAAAGTCAGAAGCCAATATATGATAATCAAACACGCCTATGACTCCTAAATGTGCTATCAGATCAAATCTCACATCCACGATGTGACCAAGTGCTGAGTAGCCAAACATCCGACGCAACCCAAAATCTGAAGCAGCTCCACCAGATCCAAAATCTCTACATGCAGCAGTTGGCAACGTATACATAAGATGACCCAAACATGTCGTAGCCCACACACCAATCCCAATGCTCGATATCAAACGCCGATCCTCCTCCAGAAAGGAACAGCTCCCAAAATCTACCATCTCATCACGTTGCCTTAAAGTTTTCACACCAATGAAGTGTCTCCAATTACCGTGAGCTCGGCACAAACGTAAAAAAGAACCCCTACCATAATCAGAACGTTGGGTTACCTTTCTATCAACACACTTCCTCCATCTGTTACGGGATTCTAGGACTTCACACCAACGGGACTTGGTTGCAACCCACTAATGCCTAGAATAATCCCCAACTGCGGAAACCACATACCTATTACCTCCCAATGATGCTCCCTTAGAAGGCCCCCGAATACCTGAATGAACACCTCTTAGATGACCCCTCGAATGATGGATAGAAGTGCCGAACTCCACATTGGTCTTCTTGCTCATACCAATTGGTTCACAGGACTTCAAATTGCAGGTCAAAGCACTCCTCAACAACCTATGCACGACATTACCAGTCAAATAACCCAGCATCAAACAACGCCACAGTCTAGCCGAATCTGATGAAGTCGTCATCTTCCTATCAATCGCCGTGCTTCCAAGCAAATAATACAAATTGCTCCTTCTGACGCCCTTCATCACAATCATGGACCCCAATGTGACATTCAAACGTGCATCCATCAAGATCACCCTATAGCTTGCTGCCTCCAAAGCTCCAAGTAAAATGATGTTTATCTTCAATTGTGGAACAAACCTCACTTCATCCAACTCCCGAATCACCCCGTCACTCATCTTAATCCTAATGGTACCAATACCACCAATAGAGCATGCATGTCCATTGCCCATGAGCACAACATCCTCTCTTTCCAATTTTTGAAAGCTGGAGAACCAATCCCTTCTAGGGCAAATATGGTAAGAAGCATCCGAATCCAACATCCACTCTGTAGAGTTGGCAACACAAACTGACGGTAGTGCGGATAATAAATAGCCTGAAGAATCCGAATCTGAATTGTTACCACTAGTCTTGACAACATTCACCTCTGAAGCTTGTACAACTTTCCCCTTATTCTTCTCAGCTCGATCTAACTTTGGTCATTCAGCTTTTCAATATCCATCCTCTTTACAAAAAGCACACTGATTCCTACGAATCCCACGATGTGCACCTCTAGACTGCGACCTCCTGCTTCGGTTTGAACCACGGCCTTGAACTACTAATGCATCTCCCGATGCCTTCTCGGAGAACTCATCAACACTCTTCCTCAACTTATAATTCACCAACGCTAAGGTCACCTCCTTGTAGCTAACAATTGTTCTTCCATTAATCATAGTGAGAACAAAGGTACCATAATCATCCTCAGGCAACGAACACAAAAGTAGCATCGCCTTGTCTTCGTCCTCAACCATGATATCCACATTGGCCATGTCTGAAAGTAGCTTCATGAAGTTGTTAACATGCTCCCTGATGGGAACTCCCCTCTTCATCTTGAACTGGTAAAACCTCTTCTTCAAGTGAAGCCGATTCTTAATGCTCTTAGTAAGATACTTTTCATTGAGTGTTTCCCACATCTTCTTCGCTGACGTCTGGTTCATCACATCATAAATAAGATCCGACGTCAAGCATGACCGAATAACTCCACACGCCCTACTATTCATCTTCTTCCAAACTTTATCTTCCATATCAGCAGGTTTCTTTTGCAACTCAAGAATCTCTTCCAAATTTTGAGCGTCCAACGCATCCATCACCTGGCACCTCCACAAACCGAAATTGATCTTGCTATCAAACTTCGGAACATCGATATTCATGTTATTGGTGCTCAATCTATGTATTATCTTCGTAAGAGACGACCTCGATGTGTTTGTTTCACCCATGTTGTAGATCTAACTCTTTAAATAAGAATCCATTAGCGAATCCTTCGAACAAGCTCCCAAGTCCAATCCGGAGCTCTGATACCACTTGTTGTGCGTGGCGGAAGCGGTCGAATCACACACAAGCCAAACAAGAGAGATCACAACCAAAATACACAAGCACAATCACCAAATAACACAAGAGATTTACGTGGTTCGGCAATTGCCTACGTCCACGGGGAGAGGATGAGGATATTCCACTAAATCAAGGAGAGTACAAATGGTTACAATATCACAAAACTCACAAATTAACCCTCAACCAAAGCTCTCAACTTGCTCACAATACCAAAATAGATTAGGAATCATAATAGATTAGAAATACTGCTATCCAACACAATCGTGAATATTTTTGCTGTAATTTTCAAACTGTAGAATTATATACATTCTTACATTAAAAATAATAATAATCTAAATTATCCATCCCAAACTTGCGAAGCTTGTGTTATTATCTCCATTTTAAGCCGTGTCTTTTTACGCCTATATTCTTACTACCCTATCTCGTTTACTTTTCCTTTTACGACGTTAATTTCTGTCTCCATCATCATTTAATCATTTCAACAGTCTCGTGCTACAAACCTCATCTTTTTTTATTTTTATTTTTATTTTTATTTTGCTCTCATTCAATAAAAGCCATTTATAGTCAAATGCTTTCAATGCCCTCTAATTCTCAAGCGGAGATCATCCAATTACAATAGAAGATCCAGGTGTCTACGCAAACAGCATCATCCTCTCCTATTTTTCTTCCATTTTTAGCTGTTCTCTCCCCTAAATTTTCCATGAAGAAATTGGGCAAGCTCCCATTTGCCTAAATTCTCTCTCTGTCTACAGTTTCAAGCTTTATCAGTAGATAGAAGAAGAGTTTGATCTTGAGTTCTTCTTCAGGTAAGCTTAAGCTTTTGTGTGAGGATTTATCTTTTTCTCTCTGATCCATCGTGTTTTCTTGTGATTTCAAGTGAACCCATAACTTCTTTTTTGGCTAGTACAGATAAAAGATCCAAACTTTCTAGGATTCGTGAAGTGGGCAATCAATTTGACCCATTTCAATTGTAGACCTTTTCTGCCTTAGTTTATTGATATATTTACCTTTGGACATGAGTTCCTTGTACTTAATCTATTCAGTTGAACAAACATTCAAGTGTACAATTTGAAGTCAAAACTCTAAAGCTTAGGAATCCAAACCTTAGATCTTAGTGTCCATTTTGTTTTTATTCCTTCTGTATTGTGGAGAGATGGTTACTTTCTTTTAACTTAAGCAAATCCACATGATTTGCTGCAAACTTGTTGATTTGTTTATGTTAGGATCGCCGCATCTTAAGGTCCTTCACATGATATGTACCTGGAATGAATAAAGGCGACAGCACACTTATTCGAACTGAATAACTGTGTATTTATCCTGATTAAGCCTCATCTCTTAGTGAGATCAGGGTATAACTTGTACTTGTGTCTTTGTGTTTCTTGGGTTTGTGTGCAAGCTTATTTCGACTGTAGGCATTAAGTTTAATGGCAAGGGTTGTACTAGCAAAACGTCTGTTTTCTGTATATCAAATGGTAAATTTGTCTATATATGTTTAGTAAACGTGTCCCTGATTTGATAAATCTATCTACCCATACTTTGAACAAACATAGTCATAATCGAATTACTTTATGTCGTATCAATATAGCATCTTGCGGTTCTTACCAACAATGACAACAATGAAGTCTTTGTCTGCAGCTATTATTGGAGTAATTCCCTTTCTCATTCTCAATTCAACAAGGCCAACGAAAACCCAAAAGGATCTATTAGTTCCTTTTTCTTGCCAATACTCAACTACTAGTTGCCTCAGAACGTGCCACAATCTTACTTGCTGGAATTATCAAGATTGGACCACAATCAGGAGGAACAACTTTCCATATTGGCTAGCTGGGTCCTAACAACTTGTGTGGTTGATATTTCACTTGGTAACAACCTCTAAGAAACACAAAGTACGCCCTATAGAGGGCTCTCTCTCTTGTAAATTCTAAAGTTTGTGATTGCAGTGATACGCTATTGATGATTGCGCTGATACCTTATTCCGATTGCGTTGCATTGTATAATGATTCCACTGATATCCCTTCCTACATGGCTTTCCATAGAGAACCCTCCATAGGACTTTCCCCTTAAAGACCTCCCACGTCAGCTGCCAACTTCTGTACACCTGTCAATCTATAAATAATTCATTATACTCAATTATAGGACCACTAAAACAACTCCTTGTCATGGTTCGTCAGTTTATACTTCTGACATAAATGTTCAACGATCCTTGCTGTTACTGCTGTTATTTTGCTATTTTATTTCAGTTTGAGCCTGCCACAAGATTTTTATTTCTTGTTGTAATACTAGCATTAGTGCTGGTCTTTTTCATAGGAAAAGCAACTAATGGAGGCGAGTGATATTGAGAACATGAATGGGGAGTTGGAGAGACATGGATCGGGTTTTTCTGAGGATAGAGATGTGATTCCAATGAGAGAGCCCCTGTTGCTTAGAAAGAGGACCATGAATACTACATCTCAGATTGCCGTTGTTGGATCTAAAGTTTACCCCATAGAGACCTTGGATTACGAGTAAGTATTCATATCTCCTGTTCTTATTGCTAAAGTTCCTAATTTCTGATTTTTTTTATTGTTTAGAGCATTATCTGTTAGCAAGTTGCTGGGTACCAAGATATTTTTATGCCACTCTGATCAAGCCGTTGATTATTTTTTTTGTAAATGGGTTTTTTAGAAGAATTTACGCACTTGGAAACATAAGATTCTTATGTAGATTTGGTTGAACTATTGGGAGTTCCTCATTCTTAATCTCTGAATAAGCTAATGTGTTTCTCCAGGTAATCTGTTTCTTGAGAATTTAAGTTAATATTTGTAGTTAGATGTTTGATGTGAATCAGGCTCTCAGATTCTGCTTACCCAGTTCTAATTTCTAACTAGTTTTCTGTTTGATAGAACAAAGTCAACAAACGGACCTTGTCAATGTGCATGCTAAACCATGACATGAAAGTCTGTAACTATTTCTGATAAGATGCTCATGATCTATATTTAGATTCAGGCAACTATACGCTTCTAATTGCTAAACTTCTATATTGTCTTTATCTAGATTTTCAAAGCTATTCTTCCTAATTTTAGGGCGTGCATAAGAAAGAAATCGGAGAAACTCTTATTATAGGTCTTTGGAATATTTGATGTAACAAATCATGAAAATGTTAGGGAATTGATAATATTAGAGTGATGTTGTAGATTTAGCCCCATATCGGAAAATAATAGTAGTGCGACTATGAGGAACAAGCCTTAATCGGTGACCTTTTAGTGTCAAGAGCCTTATTCTAGAAAAAATCTTAAGTTGCCCTGAAGACCTATGCCTAACTTTCATTATAAGGTCACATTAGAAATTTGAGCCTTGACTTAAAGTAATTACGTAAAAGCAAATATATTCCTTATTTCTCTGGTTCAAGATTTTCTTCCTTCCCTTGTATTGCAAATAGGAAAACTAATGATCCTTCCTTCATATTACACTACAAGCAAATATGTTACTGTATTTTTCCCTAGATTTTTTTGTTAAAAAAAGAGTGAGTAGTTACTCCCCGCGTTCCATTAATGTCCTAGATTTATATCATCACAATGGAACTTTCAGATCATAAACATACTTTATAATTATGCATGTATTTCGCTCTCAATTAACCAAGAGTTGGACTCCTAAAATTTTTAATGACGTGTTGAGAGGCTAAATATCCCTGTTCGTTTATATTAAACTTCAGATATTTGTGAATTACATCTGATAAGATTTTCAAGTTCTAGCTTTATTGGATATTTATTCTCAGGATTGTGGAGAATGAATTATTTAAGCAAGATTGGAGGTCAAGGAAAAGAGTGCAGATATTTCAGTATATAGTCCTTAAATGGACTCTGGCGCTGCTTATAGGCCTCGGTACTGGACTTGTTGGCTTCTTCAACAACCTTGCAGTTGAGAATATTGCAGGATTCAAATTGTTGCTAACAAGCAATCTTATGCTTGATCATAGGTAAAGTTTATGCTACCACTTCACAAAATAAATGAACTTTATGTATATCACTGCTGTGTCATATATGGAGCTATGAATTAGTAGTAATTTTGCGGAACAATGCGAAGTAGATAGAAAATGTCACACATAATTTTGTCTTGGGGATAACTTGAGTTAATTAAATTAAAATGCGACATGAACAAATAAAAATTATGAAAATGACAGTTTGGTTTTCCTTTTTTCTTTCAAGCTGATCATGAAATTGTAGTAAGCTAATGTAACGACAGTTTTTGTTTCTTGTTTGTTGTTTTCTTGGCTTTGTTTTTTTAAGAAGAAATATAACTGCTTTTTAAATAAATTTGGGGTAAACATGCAAATAAAGGAGATTTTGAGGGTGGAAATTGGGGCTAAATCGGAGATCTTCTGGGTAACTTAGTAGAAAACGTTTAATTTTTTAAATTATAAAAATGTTAGAAGATTTATCTCTGATTAATAGATTGAAAGCATGTGTATGCACGTGCACACATTCATAGACCCATCACATAATATGTGTATGCATATTCACTCATTCATAGACCTCACGCATATTTTGTGAAAATGCTGGGGCATCCTTTTGTGGCTTAGACATGTCAATCACGCCCTGCAGATTTTATAAATGTGATGTGTGGTATTGAACAAAACAACACAAATAAATGTATCTTCCTCTCAAAGAGGGGGGAAGAACTATTTACCAAAAAAACTTCCCAAGTAATTTTAGGGTCTGGTTCCAGTACAGGTACTTACTAGCATTTGGGGTTTTTGCTGGTTGCAATTTAATTTTAGCTGCAGCAGCTGCTGCTATTTGTGCTTATATTGCACCTGCTGCAGCTGGATCTGGTATACCTGAAGTGAAAGCTTATCTCAATGGAGTTGATGCTCATTCTATCTTGGCACCAAGTACTCTCTTTGTAAAGGTAGCTCTTGCATTTTTATTCCTGGACTGATGTTTCACCTTTTCATTCATTACAAATGAGCATGTAAAGAACAGGCATAAGCGAGATCAAAACATTATACCATTGTCTAGTGACATAAATTATATTAGGTTAAATTTTAAACAAGTATTTGACAATGCTCATGTTTGTTTCATTTAGCATAGGGTTAATTGCGGATAGAACTTACTACCCTAGTAGTACTATTGTACGTATACCAAAAATTATTTGATTTCTCTTAGTAGATCAACCGAATTACATTTGAACAAATAGGTAGAGGAATAATAATCAAACTATTTGATAACTATTCAATAAACTTTCACAACTAATGACATTCTCTAGTATCTTGCACAAATCTGCAGATAGTTGGTTCAATCTGTGGAGTTTCAGCGGGTTTTGTATTGGGTAAAGAGGGGCCTATGGTTCATACAGGAGCATGCATTGCCTCGTTACTTGGTCAAGGTGGTTCAAGAAAGTACCATTTGACATGGAAATGGCTTAGATTCTTCAAAAATGATCGGGACCGTAGAGATTTGATCACTTGTGGAGCTGCTGCAGGAGTGGCAGCTGCTTTCAGAGCTCCTGTTGGAGGTGTTCTTTTTGCTCTTGAAGAAGCAGCATCCTGGTAATTTTATTACTATTTTGGATAAATTTCTGAAAATCCCCAAGAAGTTTTGGCCATTTTGGGATATGCCCCCAAAGAGTTCGGAAATGTCACTTAACCCTCCAAAACTTTGCATTTTTCTGAATCTAGTTTCACGTAACCCCCAGCCTTTTGGGGGTGATTTGAAAATAGTGTTGGGGTTAAAGTAACATTTTGAAGTTTTTTTGGGGTTATCTCAAAATAGGCCAAACTTCTTGGGGGTTTTGAGAAATTTACCCAACTGGTTTTATGTCTATGTTTCTTGACGTTTATGATTAAGTTTAATTGCTATAACTTGGTAGACAATATAGGTGAATCTAGACAGGTTAATCTAGATTGGTGTAAAATATCTCATGAAATTGTTTTGTACTCATCTGATGATGGTTAAGAAAATTTTCAAGTAGTCAATATAATTGAACTATTTCATCACATATATCAATAATCTCTCAGAAAAGGTTGTTAGACTAGGTCTCATCTAATTTGAGTTGGTTTTAAGGTATTTAGTTTCTCTAACATACTTTTTTTTTTGAGAGAATCTCTAACATACTTTTTTGCCGCTTATTATTCTTTTCCCATGAATTATATCAGGTGGAGGAGTGCTCTTCTTTGGAGAACATTTTTCACAACAGCAGTAGTTGCTGTTGTACTAAGAAGTTTAATTTATTACTGTCGTGGTGGAAACTGTGGACTCTTTGGGGAAGGAGGATTGATCATGTTCGACCTAAGCTCAACTATTACTACATATAGCGCCCCTGACATGCTCGTGATTATAGTTCTTGGAGTAATCGGAGGTTTATTTGGAGGCCTCTACAACTTTCTCTTGGACAGGGTTCTCCGTGCCTACAGCATCATCAATGAGTATGATTCACCCTCTGTTTTGATTTATGAGGCACTCTTGATGATTCGTTATGACTCTAATTTCGATGTGTAAATTTTACAACACTACCCCCCGGCAGAACTTTGGGGTGCGCACTAAACACCTCTAAATTTTATTAATTAGAAGAAAAAAAGTTGCCTTAAACTTTCAAAATTATGAAAACACCCCTGAACTATTGAAATTGTCATAAACAGCATTAATGTGAAGAGTGAAAGGTCTGAACTGCCCTTGTTACTATCTACCAACCCTAACCCAAAAAACTTCCAAGTAAATTAACACATTCGTGGAAAAAATTGTCCAAAACATGTCATACGTGAAGAGCGTGATAATTTAAACTAACTTCTAGCAATCCCTGGTTTTCATTGAGACAAGTTCAAGGGGTTTTATCTGATTTATAAAGTTTAAGGGAGTTTTATGCAAAACATCCCAAAGTTCAGAAGACTTTGTGAAAATTATCCTTGATGGATACCAATGGTAAACCTGTATTACTTTCTTTTCTTCAGTATTAACACAACTTTGTAAATTGCAGAAAGGGCCCCCCATCAAAGATCCTTCTTACAATCACCATCTCTCTCCTCACTTCATGCTGCGCCTATGGCCTCCCTTGGCTTGCAAAATGCACCCCATGCCCCGAAAACCTCAAAGACCAATGCCCAACCATCGGTCGTTCCGGAAACTTCAAGAACTTCCAGTGCCCTCCAGGCCACTACAACGACCTCGCCTCCCTCTTCCTCAACACCAATGACGACGCAATTCGGAACCTCTTCAGCGGTGGGACCCAAAAAGAATTCCACATGTCAACCCTCTTCATCTTCTTCATCACCATTTACTTCCTTGGCATATTCACCTACGGAGTCGCCGTTCCTTCCGGTTTATTTGTCCCCGTTATTCTCGCCGGTGCTTCATATGGACGAATGGTTGGGAATCTTTTAAGCCCTGTTGCGGATCTTGATGCGGGTCTTTTTGCGCTTTTAGGAGCAGCGTCATTTCTTGGCGGGACCATGAGAATGACTGTCTCAGTGTGTGTCATTCTCTTAGAGCTTACTAATGATCTCCCGATGCTCCCTTTGGTTATGCTTGTGCTACTAATTTCGAAAACTGTTGCCGATGGCTTTAACAAGGGTGTTTATGATCAAATTATTGTGATGAAAGGGTTGCCATTTATGGAGGCTCATGCCGAGCCCTATATGAGAAATCTGGTGGCTGGTGATGTTGTTTTGGGTCCTCTGATAACATTTTCGGGTGTAGAGAGAGTTGGTAACATTATTCATGCGTTAAAATTAACTGGTCATAATGGATTCCCGGTGGTTGACGAGCCGCCTTTTTCTAATTCACCGGAGCTTTGTGGGCTTGTGTTGAGGTCTCATTTGCTTGTGTTGCTTAAAGGGAGGAATTTTACGAAGGAGAGGGTGGCAACTGGAGCTTCAAATGTGTTGGAGAGGTTTGGGGCGTTTGATTTTGCCAAGGCTGGATCGGGGAAAGGAGTGAAATTGGAGGATTTGGAGATTGATGAGGATGAGATGGAGATGTTTGTGGATTTGCATCCAATTACTAATACTTCGCCTTATACTGTGGTTGAAACGATGTCGTTGGCTAAGGCTGCGGTTCTTTTTCGGGCGCTTGGACTTAGACATCTCTGCGTTGTTCCGAAGACTCCTGGGGTAAGAAGAGCTGAATATATCTTAACTTTTTTTTCCCTTCAAGTTTAAGTTGCAAACTGAAACAAACAATTTAAATTTGTGAAGGAATAAACTCATTTTCATGTAAAATTTTCCTTACTATGGCTTCTTTTTGGGTTTGTGCTATTAAGTTCCCGTAATTAGTAAATCTATCTACGTCTTTTGCACTTAGCATCAGCTTTCTAAAATGCATTTTATCTTTCTTTGACAGTAAAATTTTATATACAGTACTTTGCCAACGAATTGCATATACTCAAATGTGGATTTTGTGGGATTTATAGAATTCATGGTTATATTCAGGAAAACAAATGATGCATTTAGATGAAAAGCATCAATTTGAATTTTCCAATCTTGCCATTTTCCATATTCTTATGAAAAGTAGCATTAAATGTTCTGCATTTTGGACTCTTTGCACATAAACTGTAAGATACACCTATTACAGAATTATGTCATCTATTTAAACTTGGAGTACTCAAATTTATTATCTGTTTTCATATGCTTCAATTTTCTTTCTTATAAGACTGATATTTGTTGATTTGCAGAGGCCGCCAATTGTTGGTATTCTTACACGGCATGATTTCATGCCTGAGCATGTACTTGGTTTATTCCCTCATCTTGGTTCCCACAAGTAAAGGTGAAATCTGGTGAGCAATTCTTTTCCCTTTATTTGTTACTTATAACTGTCAATACAAAGAAAAGTTTAATTGCAGATAAACCCCCTGTAGTATCAATGTTTGGAACTTACCACCCTTCTACTGCTATTGTTGCAGATAAACTCCCTTAGTAAACTTTATTTACTCTTTTACCCTTGAGGTTCTATTTGTCAAAAAACAATTTTCCCTTCTCTAAGAGTAAAAGAGTCAAAAAAATTCACTCAGGCAGCCTATCTGCAACAATAATCCTAGATCCATAATTAACCCAAAACATAGTTTAAAGTTGTCTAGTCAGTTATTTAAGTTTAGATACTAGTTCTAACTTCTAAGACTGGGGTCTTGAGTCCACTTTGAAGAATAAACACCAGTAAGAAATGATAACACTAAAAAGAAATGATTGTGAATTGATGAGTTTAGCAAAATGTTTGTTTTTCATGTCAAGTTTTAACACCGTACATTCCAAAATTAAGCTCCAAGTCATTGATGATCTTGTAAGATTAAGACTTTAGCTAGAATGCAATGCAATGTATATGTCAAATTAAAATAATCCTTATTGTTTAATCCATAGTTACACAGTATGTAGTATGTAGCGAGTCAGGGTGCTATTTCTAGGTACGAATTCGGGTACATAATTTGCCGCTTAGAAAACTTGGATTCAATGTGTGTAGCTTGCTTCGGTACGTAAGTTCGGTACATGATACGTCGTAAATATTGAGTGTGCTTACAATTTTTCAAAGTGTATAGTGGAGAACTAGAAAGTAAAAAACTAATTATCCATTTCAATATTTTTTCCATACAAACTACTTAAATATCTGCATTTCTAATGAGCTTCTTTTTTTCTCTTTTTTTTTGGAGTTTGTTTTTTGTTCTGTTTTTCTTTTTTACATAGTTTGTGCTGAGTTGATGGTTTTGTTTCGTGTTTTACCAACATAAGTACTTAGTTACGGTAAATTCATTGACTCATATATTCTAGTGTGGACCTCCCTGTACTTGATTGTACACAGCGCGTTGCATCTTGCGCATGTGCATTTAAAGAGACCCATGTTATCAAGGCGCGCCCCGCGTGCGGGGCACTGGAGGCTGGGACAATTACGCCCCGCACTAGAGGCGGGGCGCTACACGCACACGAGGCGCGCGCCTCGTGTGCGCCTCGTGTGCGCCTCGCGCACGCCTCGTGTGCGTTTGACACATGCGTCATGTAATAGACTCTTTCTTTTCTTTTTTTAAATAATTTATATATTATATATTTACATCATGTAATAGACTCTTTCTTATTAGTTGCTAATCCATTCTTCATTTTTTCATGTTTATAATAACTTATAAAAAGGAAACAATAATTAGTAATTTAGTATATTTGTTTGCTAATTGTAATTTTCTTCTCTAATTAGTATGCTAACTAGAAAATTATGAATATGTAAATATGTAATTGTTACCTTCATTCTCCATCTTTTTTTGCTAACTAGCAAATTAACAATTAAGAATGCTAAATAAAAAATTATGAACAATCATATTTTTTTAATCACTTAATTGTTACTTAAAAATATCTATATCATATTTTAAATAAAAATACATATTTCTTATTTGTTACTTGCTTATTTTGTTTCATAGACTTTTACTTATGTTGGAGATTATCTTGCATTATGACTTGTGAAAACTTATGAACTTTTCTATGTTATGCATGCTAATTAGGACTCTTTTGTGATTTAGTAGGTGAAATTATATTTCTTGATCTTTTTATATGATAATTTATAAACATGTTGCTTATATGTTTCTTTGTCTTATGTTAGGAAATATTAGTTTGAGTTGTGCGCCTTAATTTAGTGAGGCGCACACATCGTTTGAGTTGTGCGCCTTGCGTATGGTGCGCGTAAGGGGTCTCTGCGCCCCGCATTGCGCCTTGCGCCTTGATAACAATGAAATGGACTTTGTGTCTTGCATACTTATAAATTGTACTTGGATTTCAGAGAAGTAATTCGTGTATCAGAGGGAATCTATTTGCAGATGTATTGGGAATCGGTTTGTAGGAATTGTATGACGATTTGGGGTGTTCTAGGGAATTACACAACTATGATTTAATCTGAGTTGAGCCATGTTAAGCTCACAACATAATAAATACTGAACCATTGAATTTCAATGTGTCTTACTCTGAGTCCATAATCATAGGAATCATAGGATTCCATATGTTATACAATTATAACCACAACCCTCCCGAATACTTCAGAGTTTTTGTTATGACAAATTCCCCAGGATAAGCTAATATCAATCACATGAGAGCACGAAAAATATCAAGAACACACGAACACAATGATATACGTGATTTGACTTGTAGCCTACGTCCACAGGCGAAGGAGGAGAAAAGCTTTATTAATTGTGAGGAATACAAAGTGGAATCTCTCAATCCCAAATCACATCCCAAAAATCTAATACAACTCAATTAAAGGAACAAAAAAGAAGAATATCAAATATGTTTCATAAAATAACTCTCTTTTCCTGAATGGTGCTCTGAAGATTGATGATTAAAATTGGCTTGAAAGATTGTTCTTATATAGCCTTGAAGATTTCAACTCCTTGCTGTCTAAGAAATAAGAGTTCTAATAGGAATAGAAATCCACATGTCCTAAAACCCAACAAGAGCCAAAGTAGGAATAAACTTTTAATATGATTGGTTGTGCAAAGTCTAATGTAAGTAGGATTCTTGATCAAAACAAACCAAACTGAAAAAGGACTCTCAAAGCAATATGGATTTGAGTATTTGAGACAACCTATAACAAATCTCTACATTGATTCAAATACGTAGAAGATTTCTCACTTTAAAATAAGCTAACTTACTCCACCTTCTCTAATAGCCCCACAGGACATCTAAGTGCGGCATGTATTGATAAAGTCTAAGCCCGGCTTGAACTTGCTAACTAAAAGAGGCCACCTCAACAAATCGACTGAATTGTCGGCACGACGATCGTAAATATTAGCGAAGTCATCATCTGAAATTGTAACGCCCCGCCCCGGAATCCCGGAGTCGATACGCTATTAGATCCGATGGATTGGCCTCACAAACCACCACATGTCTTTTCAGCATGTTTTGTCCTCACTCACGCGCTCCCTGGAAAACTTCCCAGGGGATCACCCATCCTAGAATTTCTCCAGGCCAAACACGCTTAACTTTGGAGTTTCTAAGAGTTGGGTTCCCGAAAAGAAGATGCATCTTGGTGGTATGAGTATTCCAATCAAATCTATCAATACTAATCACATCACCCTCTCAAGGATTGGGGTATTACAATCTCCCCCACTTAAACTCATAACGTCCTCGTTGTGCCAAACCATATCATCCAAGACCGTACCATCCGTGTGAGATTCTAGAGGTGGCTCCTATGGCCTCAAGAGGTGGCTCCCGCCCTCTCGACGTAGCACTTTGCGCCGCATAGCACTTAGCTCTCACAATTTCGGTTGGCTTGGCTCTGATACTATTTGTAACGCCCCGTCCCGGAATCCCGGAGTCGATACGCTATTAAATCCGATGGATTGGCCTCACAAACCACCACATGTTTTTTCAGCACGTTTTGTCCTCACTCACGCGCTCCCTGGAAAACTTTCCAGGGTGTCACCCATCCTAGAATTTCTCCAGGCCAAGCACGCTTAACTTTGGAGTTTCTAAGAGTTGAGTTCCCGAAAAGAAGATACATCTTGGTGGTATGAGTATTCCAATCAAATCTATCAATACTAATCACATCACCCTCTCAAGGATTGGGGTATTACAGAAATAGCTCCTGAATAGCTGAAGGGCACAAAATTATCAACCGACAATGCATAAGCTACTGTATCTTCATATCTTCGCGGTAATTGGATATCTCTTCTAGATCGATCTCTAGCAATAGTGTATTCCCGCTCTTCCCTACAGCTGCTGAGTGTTGCTTCATTCTAAACTTGAACGAGTTCTTGCTGCTGAACTCCTTAGTTTATCTGCTGAAGTGCTGAATCTATGAATTCTTAACTCTGGCCTATGTCCTGTAGTGCGCGCCTTAACAACAACTGAAACCGATGACCATTTCTGGTAGAACATAGCAGATTCATCAAAAGTAACATCACAACTAATAATAATGTTAGGAGATTTCGGATCAGGACACCATAACCTAAAACCATTAACACCCGATGCATAACCTAGGAATATGCACTTCTTTGCTAGCGGCTCAAGTTTTTCTTGACTAACATGCACATATGTAGGGCAACCAAATATTATAAGATTAGAATAATTCTCAGGCTTACCGAGCCAAACCTCCTTTGGAGTTTTACAACTAGTAGATGACGACCGATTCACTAAGTAACAAGCCGTATTCACTGTTTCCGCCTAGTATTCCTTGCCTAAACATGTATTTAACATCATACAACGAGCTTTCTCTAATAGGGTTTTATTCATACGTTCTGTCACTCTATTTTGTTGCGGTGTACGAGGGACTGTACGATGTCTAACAATTCCCTCATTGCAGAACTCATTAAATTCTCATCCACAAAACTCAAGGCAATTATCAGTTTTAAGCCTCTTAATTAGCCTCCCAGTCTGCTTCTCAATCAAAGACTTTCATTGTTTGAAAGTCACAAAACACCTCATATTTATGTCTCAAAAAGTAGACACAAACCTTCCTAGAATAGTCATCACTGAAGGTCAACAAATATATGGAACTACCACCCCTCGAGGCAACTTGAGAATGTCCCCAAAGATCTGAATGGATATAATCCAAAGTACATTCAGTTTGATGCATTGTCGTACTGAAGCTGACTCTTTTCTGCTTTCCAAAGATGCAATGCTCGTAGAATCTTAATTTTTCTGTACTATGTCCACATAAAAAATCCTTCCTACTCAACTCGGTCAATCCACACTCACTCATATGATCAAGTTTCATATGTCATAATCTGATAGTATTAATTCCTGACATCGACGATGCAACTGCAGCCGAGACGGTAACGATAGAACCTACAAAACATACAAGCTGTCAATCTTCTTTCCTTTCATAACCACAAGAAAGCCTTTTGTAACCCTAAGAACTCCAACTTCACCTGAAAATTGCACCAAATGCTATCAAGAGTGTCCAAAGAGATGAGATTCTTCCTTAAACCTGGAACATGCCTAATATCTGTCAAAGTCCTGATAACTTCATCATACATCTTAATCCGAACTGTGCCTTTCCCAACAGTCTTGCATGAGACATTGTTCCCTATAAGAACAACTGCACCATTAATAGCTTCATAAGTGGTTAACCAGTCCCGATTAGAACACATATGATAGGAACAACCCGAATCCAAAATCCAATCATCCATGCTCTTGTTTATATCATCTGTAGCCAAGAAAATCACATCTTCAGCAATATCAACTTTAACGGAGTCCTCCTTTAATTTTTCTTCATACTCTTCTTGTTTGTTTTTGTTCTTCAATCTGTAACAATCGGTCTTGATGTGTCATTTCTTCTTGTAATATCTACAGGTCAGATTTCTGTGCTTTGACTTATACCTGTTACCTTCAAATCCCAACAAGCCATCAGCTTTATCGCTACTTTCACTTGTGGTTAACTCTTTGTCGATCTTCTCCTTATTCAATAAGTTCTCTTTGACGTCCTTGATACCAATAGAATCTCGACCGCTCTTTGTCGATCTTCTCCTTATTCAATAAGTTCTCTTTGACGTCCTTGATACCAATAGAATCTCGACCGTAAATCATAGTGTCCCTGAAGTGCTTGTAGGAAGGCGGCAAAGAATACAATAACAATAGGGCTTGATCTCCATCATCGATCTTAACATCAATTTTACTCAAATCTGTAATCATAGAATTAAACTCACCAATATGAGATTTGATGGGTGTTCCTTCCGACATTCGAAGTGTGTACAAACGCTGCTTCAAGAGGAGGCGATTAGTGAGCGACTTCGTCAAATACAAATCCTCCAATTTAGACCATAAATAAGCGTCTGTCTTCTCCGTGAGAACTTCTTGCAAAACTTTGTTTATCAAACATAACTGGATCACTGTGAGAGCTCTATCATCCAACTCGTATCAATCTTCCTCCGTCATAGTAGCCGGTTTCTTCGACTTTCCGAACAAAGCCTTTTTCAATCCACTCTGTGTCAACACGACGATCATCCTAACTTGTCGAAGGCTGAAACTGATGTTGTCGTCAAACTTCTCGATATCCCACTTCGTAGTAGTTATCGTCATCTTCTCGTCCAATCGATAGCTGATGGCTCTGATACCAATTTGTTATGATAAATTCCTCAGGATAAGCTAATATCAATCACACGAGAGCACGAAAAATATCGAGAACACACGAACACAAAGATATACGTGGTTCGGCTTATAGCCTACGTCCACGGGTGAAGGAGGAGAAAAACTTTACTAATTATGAGGAATACAAAGTGGAATCTCTCAATCCCAAATCACATCCTAAAAGCCTAATATAACTCTCAACTAAAGGAACAAAAGAGAAGAATATCAAATAGACTTCACAAAAGAACTCTCTTCTTGATTGGTGCTCAGAAAATTGATGATTAAAATTATCTTGAAAGACTGTTCTTATATAGCCTTGAAGATCCCAACTCCTTGCTATCTAAGAAATAAGAGTTTTAATAGGAATAGAAGTCAACATGTCCTAAAACCCAACAATAGTCTAAGTAGGAATAAACCTCTAATATGATTGGTTGTACAAAGTCTAATGTAAGTAGGATTCTTGATCAAAACAAACCAAACTGAAAAAGGACTTCAAAAGCAATATGGATTTGAGTATTTGAGGCAACCTATAACAGTTTTGGTGCATTGTTGAAGAAACTTTAAAATGATATAAGAACAATTCAGGTTCAAATCCGCAAATCTATCAGTCATGTGTTTAAAATGGACTTTAAAAAGAAATATGGTGTGTGAGTCCAACTAACGGGATACTTGTAATCTCTTTGTCATTTCCTATTCTATATGTTGAGAGTATAAAATTATAACTCCCAATCCTTGTCACAACTTTAGATTTTTAATGCAGTTGAAAGAAACTTTGTTATGATATTAGAGCAGACAAGCTTAAATCTGTCTGCCACATATTTAAAGTGGATTTTTTTTTTTGAACTGTTTTGTGAGTCCAACTAAGAGAACTTGTAATCGCTTTGTCATTTCTTGCTCTTCTATTCTTTTCATTTGACCTTGAGTTCCATCTTTTTATTTCTTCCAGGTTCTTGTTGGATATCAGTGGAAGCTGATCTCCGACGAAATCCACCCGTCTTCTGAAGAAAATTTTAAAACAATAATCTGATCTATGGCGTGATGCGATTATGTTCCTCACTCTCCCTGATTATTTTTCCTTTTGTTTTTCGAGAGGTGATCCGGAGTTGTTAGGATTTGGCGCAAAGCTGCAACACCAAATTCTTTTTGTAATTATGCGTGTGTTCGAGTGTGCTGCAATTGGAGGGGATTCTTGGATTTTGGCGTACTCCTCGATACTGAGCGCCTCTTGGCTGTGTTGTTGTATGTTATCTATGCTTAAGAGGAATGCTCATTGTTTAATAAAATTATTGTTTACAGTGGTTATTTGCAGTTGTCAGGTTTGCTAATTGCTATTGCTTTTCTCCTGTATGTACAGATTTCGTCTCATTTAGTTGTAATGCTTCAACCACGTGCATTTAGAGTGAGCGAGTTTTGGCTATCATAGACATGTAGCTCTTGTTAGGAAAATTATATAGGAGACAGAAATTCTGAGGCGTAAAACACTTTCCTTAAAGAAATATTTGCCCCACTTGATATTCAAAGTTGTTTTGGGTTAATACAAATTTTCTTCTCATGATACAACAGAAAATGAAAATTTCAGCAAGCAAATCTGGAATTTTTCACTAATTCGTTGCGAAACAAGTTTGTAGTATTGTAGATGTTTTTGACAGAAAATTTTTGAAAAAGAAGTGAAGTTAAGATATCTGAAATTATAAACTATATATAGGTTTGAAAAGGTGTTTTCAACAACCATAATTTTTCAAAACACCCGTTGGAACAAACACTTTTCAACAGCCACTTGTCTATTCATATTTTCAAAAATTCAAAATAACATTAAAAATATTATATTTAAAATATATATATTAACATGCTAGAATATTTAAGCGGCAGCGGCAAGGATGCGAAGTGCTAAGCGCGTCTAATAATCGTGCTACCCGCACGTGGGTTTAAAAACCTATACTTTGATCCATTTATCAAAGCCTAATAATCATTAAATGTTTTTAAACCTCTAAAAGAATGCTCAAATATCTCATGTGGGAGTATCTTGTTTTTACAAACAAGTACTAACAGCTCTTACGTGGAATGCTGTGTTTTTCGATATGGTATGTTGGTTTTCAGTGATTTGGTTGGTGGTTTTTCCGGCTGTCAGTGGTTTCCCGGCAAGCGGTTTTCCAGTGCGTATGCAATGCTCAATTCATCTTTCCTTTGGAAAAGGATCATTATACAAAACCTCCTTTGTTTTTAAATTTATATATAAACTATTTTTAGAGCTTTTTTTTGTTGCAATCAACCGCCTGCATTCACTTTTAAGTTGACTTTTTTTAGGCTTAGTTATTGAATAGCAAGTATATTAAAGAGATGATCCTTAATGGAGGTTATGTGGGACCAACTATCAAAAATACTTAACTAAAATGGGAGCACATGTGGTTGATTGCAACAAAAATCACTTTAAAGAGGTTTATACATATATTGAAAATTAAAGGTGATTTTTAGAGAACCACTCTACTTTAAAAGTTATTTTTATATAAAAATAATCCTAATAATAAGTTCAGGAATGTTCATCATATAGGTGTTAATACCATTTGTCATGATTAGCGACCCATTAGTTGAATTGATGCTTTTAAGTTGCCAAAATGCTCAGTATGGGCTTTGACGTAGTTTTATCATGGTTAAAGATCATAAAAAGAAGGGGGTTATGTGAGACAAGAAATTCAGGGGTAATGTGTACCCCCCAAAGTTCAAAGGGGTTTTATGAAATTAACCCTGAGAATAACCCATCAATTTACACAAGGGTTTTTAAAAAGGTTTATTTAGCTATTAGTTCCTCAAACTTAAATAATTCCATATAATCCCTTGAATCTTAATAATTGCTCACTAATCCCTCAAATTCAAAGAGGTCTAGCAATTTGGTCTCTTCATGACCAAAATGTCCTTTTAGTTATGATTTCTCTCTTAAAATGCATCTTGTTCAAAAAAGGTTTTTTTTTTTGCACTTTGGTAGTATAAAGTTTACACCTTTTTAACTTTAATACCCAACATTTAATACCCAATGTTTTTGACACTTTTGATACCTAAAGGTTACACTTTTTTTAAACTTTGATGCTTTACATTTTTGTGACAATTTTGTTGCAACAAAGTTTATACCTTTTTAACTTCAATATCCCAAACATTTGTTTTTAACACTTTGATACCCTAAACTTTAGGGTATCAACGTTAAAACCTGTGTAAAATTAAGGTATGAAAGTTAAAAAATAATGAGTCATTGGGGCATTTAAGTTAAGTAATGTGTAAAACTTTGAGGTATTAACGAATCAGAAAAAGTTTAGGGTATCAAAGAATAAAAAAAGTATAAATTTTAGGGTATCAAACTGCTAATAAAAAATTTGGGGTACCAAAGTTAAAAAAATGTGTAGAGTTTAAGCTATCACAGTTTGTCTCTGGGGCATCAACGTGTCGAAAAAAGTTTAGGGTATCAAAGAGTAAAGAAGCTGTAAAGTTTGGTGAATCAAACTACCCAAGTTTAACAAGGTGCAAAATTAAAAGTCCCAAACTGCAAACAACCCTTTGGAGGAATTATTTTTTAACTGAGGGTATTTTGGTCATTGAGGGTCCAAATTGCAATAAACCCTAGGATATGAAGGGCTGCCAGCAATTTCTTAGATTCAACGGACGGATAAGGAATTACTAAAGAGTTGAGGGGCTGAATAACCCTATTAAAAGAGGCCAAGGCCCAAACGGGCAAATCTCACACCACTTGAGGCCACACCCTCACAATAATTCCTCTCTTCCAACGCCTCTCTCTATAAATCATCTTCCAATCGCACCCACAAACCCTAATCCCCAAATCATTATGAGGTTCCAGATGCCGATCCATCTGAAGCTGAGGATTTCCATCGTAAAACCCCTTCCATCTAAAGACGCGTAGATTGGGGAATATTGGTTGTAATAATTTAAAATATATATATATATTTTTGGGTGGGTTTCATGGGTGTTTCTTGCTTTGAATGCTCACAAGGTGTTTGATGGAATGATTGAGTGAGGGTCTGCCCTCATTCACTGTCAGAAGCTTCACAATGGGAACTGTTGTTGTGAGGTTTAAACGCAGTGATATATTAAATGCTTTCTTGCATCTGCGTTCAGTCTCTAATTTTCTTTTTAACCTTTTTTGATCTGAGTTAAGATCTTGGGGAATAAGACTGAAGCAGACAGATTAACCCTTTAATAATTTCCATGAATGGGGAGTATTTGACAATAAATATCAAAACTGTTTTTATTTCAGGGGGGTAAAAAAAATTTCAAAGTTTTGTGAGCTCACGGGCAAATATTTAACATATTAATGATTTTTTATCAGGACAAATTTTCAAAACCAACCCATTTGAGATTTTATTCTCAAAAAACGACCCGTTTGACATTTATTTAGAGAAACCGCACTGTAGCTGAAACCAGGTCGGTTTTTCTAAAAAAGTTTACGAAACTTCACGGGAGTTCAACTCCCGTGAAGTTTTTTCTCATAACAAAACTTCACGGGAGTTGAACTCCCGTGAAGTTTCGTAAACTTTTTTAGAAAAACCGACCTGGTTTCAGCTACAGTGCTGAAACCAGGTCGGTTTCTCTAAATAAATGTCAAACGGGTCGTTTTTTGCAATTAGTTTCTCAAATAGGTTGGTTTTGAAAATTTGTCCTTTTTTATCAGTCAATCGCCTTTTTTTCCTAGACGGGAAAAATTCTCTTAATTACTTTCTTCTAAATCTTTTGCTCTTTATCACTTTCTTCGAAATTGAAAAAAAAAAATCAAGTTTTAAATTGCATAAAATACAAGACATAAAAAACAAATACAATCACGCGATCAATTAATCTATTAAATATTCGCCTCGGACTTACAAAATGACCACATTGAGCGCATACGTACAATTTAAAGAGGAAAAGAGGCACTTAGAAAGATCACCAATAGGAGTTTTAATCAATTTGTTCTAATAATGTGGCATACAAACTATAATAAAAGCATTTACACGGTTATATCGCCTATTGTTAATGCTCAATATATAGAGCTCTTGCAATTCCTTGCCACGAAAGAGGCCTAAACGTCAAACAATATAAAACTTAAATCATAAATATTTCTAACACATGGAAGGCTCGTGCGACGAAACTTTGATACATCATGTTTATTGCTCATATGCCCCTGACATATGATAACAACCAATACATAGCAACGATGCACAAACAATAGAATGTGGTAGGCATATATCTGTGTTTGCCACTAGAAAAACACCATCAGGATTCTCTGATAATTTCCTCGAAAGGTATATAAATATCAATAAAATTGCTGCTGATGAATTAGTAATTACAACATGGAATATTTACACCAACAAAGCTACAATTACAGAAGGAAGTGCGTATTTACATCATGACAAAGTTTCAGCATTATCGAGCCTCTTAATCTATACCATCCTTGAATGGACCCGATTCTTGCAGCACTTTAATGACATGCTTAACCTGTGCGAAACAAGTAGTTAGCGAACCAAGCATGAGCATGCAAAAGTGTAATTATCTCCTAATCAACAAAGCAACAGTTCTGGGTATCCTAAAAACTTACATGATAATTCAAATTTTCACAAAGTATTATTGTATCTGAATATAGTATTTAAATGTTGCTCCAAAAAGAACTTTCGAAAACGATTAATCTTGATTACTTAACTGTTTCAAACACCAAATTTGTGACTCTAGTTAAATAAGTTCCCATTCCGAGAGAGATGGACAAATGGTTAAGTATGTTCAGGTCCAAGACTCTAGTAGCATATAGGGCTAACCGTGGATAGAGCCCTTGTACTATGCCCAATTGCGGGTAGACACGTTGTAATTCTATTGAGATTTTTTTTTATATTACAAATAGACCTCCTAAGGGTAAAAGAGTTAATAAAAAATTCACTGAGGGAGGTCTATCTAGAATAATAGAACTAGAGGGCATCTGTCTGCAATTGGGAGATACTACAGGCGGTCTATCCACAATTAAACCCTAAAACATAAGCAACCTAAAAGAACGAAAAATGGGCACTTGGTAGATTGATATTTTAGCATGAAGGTTAATGAGAACATAAACTGCCATAAATTTGTTTTCTGTATACAATTCATACCTGCTCTGTCTCATGCACAAGAAAGTCCCCGATGGCTTTTCTAAACCCATCGTCAAGAAGGTAATGACAGCTGTGTGTTGTCACAGGAAGGTAGCCCCTTTGGATCTTATGCTCTCCCTGAGCTCCAGCCTCTACCTTACTCAGGTTTAACTCAATCGCTGCTTCAATAGCCTGAGAGACGATGGTGTTTATGAGTACGAAACCAAGAATGATGCATCAATTTGCAGTTTGAAACTTCTTCTGTTTATTGTGATAACATGACATTTTTCTTCGCTTTAGAACTTAAAAGTCTTTCCCTCAGTCACGCCTATCTGAAATGAAACCCAAATTTATACTTTCTAAATCACGATTAAGAAGGTGAAGCTTAATCTCTCTCGGGAGTTAGTTAGATTTGGTTTGTTTACTTTTCATTCATAAATTCAGTACTGCATGATTTAGGATGAAAATTTCAGATCAGAATTCTCAATTGGCATAATTAGATAAGGAGTAAATTTCACAAACCCCCTAAATTAACATGTCATGTGTGAAACATGTGAAACAACTGTCATTGGTCACACAATATTCTAGTGAAACAAATTCAGGAGGTTTCTCTAATTTGCAAGTTTAGAGTGTCTCCCGCAAAGACCCCAAGTTCAGGGGGTTTTGTCAAATTCATCCCAAGTAAAATTTCCCGAATTAAGGAAGTCCAATTAATTACCTGGTAATAGCATGCCTCAAAATGCAAACTTGGGTAATAGACACGCGGCAAACATCCCCACAAGCGGCCAAACAAAGTATCACCACCAATAAGGTGAAGTGCACCAGCTACAAGCTCATCCCCCTCTTCAGCAACAACAAGCAGGACATGATCTCCCATCTTTGACCCCAGCATATGAAAGAAGTCGCGCGTTAGGTAGGCCCTACCCCATCTACATTAAAAAAAAAAAGAAACAACCATAAAACTGGTGATCGGAAGCCTCAATCAATTTCCAGGATTCAGCCTTAAAATCTAATTGTGTACTAACCAAGTATTAGTAGATTGCACAATTAAGGATTCAAATGATTGATTTTAATGGGATTGTGTAAGTTCAAAACAATCAAAGTCTCAAATCAATTGCTGATTTTAATGGGATTGTGTAAGTTCAAAACAATCAAAGTCTCTAATCAATTGCAACAATCTCCGGTTTATGTATTATACCTCCCCATAATAGTTCGCTTAATAGTATAATCTAAAGACTGGTGATCAAGAAAAAAATAATAATAACATAAAATTGGTGATCGGAAACCTCAATCAATTTATAGTATTCATCCTTAAAATGTAATTCTGCAATTGTATACTGATGAAGTATTAGTAGCTTGCACAATTAAGGATTCAAATGAATGACCTTAATGGAATTGCGTAAGTTCAAAACAATCAAAGTCCAATTTCCGGTTTATGTATTATACCCACATAATAGCTGTTCACTTTATAATATAATCGAAAGACCTGGCATCATGGACGCTTATGAAAAACCAGGGTTTATATATCGTTGCAGTCAACATCATCTATGAAAACTATGCTGCACAAACATGGAATCATATAAAATATAATTCCATGTTCACATTTCTCAGGTGGAATGAACTTATACTAGGCAGAAAAAACATGAACCTCCAACTTACTAAAAATCAGAGAGAAATTAACAGTTAAAGAACTAAAAGCAACTGAGTATCTGAACAATAAATAGTTGAAAAAAGAATAGTAACAAAGGTTATAAAGAAGCAAACTTATTATCAGTTGTATTCCGGTAAAACTTGTAGAAAGAGTCCCAATGTTCTGCCTGCAAAAGCAGAATTTAAGAGCATAGCAGTGAGCAATTCATACAAGTAATGAAAATAACTGAACAAATGAAGGTCCCACACTGAAATGCTCCACTCATAGGGATCAACTATATATGAAAAATTATATAAGAATTCCAATACGGATATTGTCATACCGTAAGTAAAACTATCCAAATAGTTCACTCATAATTTTTTTTCTCCTATCTTAGGCCTCTCAACAAAAAGCAAATATATATCCCATTACATAAGGAAGGGTTTGAGTTAATAGCACTAACATTCAATAAGAACTAAAACTAATACCATATAAGCTTGATGTAAAGCACTAGTTAGTAGGCATCTGTAACTTAAAATAAACTACGGAAAATGTTGAGGCTTAAATCTGAACCTTTAAAATGGATCATGCATAAAATTTCAGATAAGCCTCTATATTCAGTTTCCATACATAACTTTATCTAGGTTAAAACTTACATAAAATAAGAATCAAAGATAATGTATCATAATTACCGTTATTTCATCTCCACGCAGGCGCTTCATCTTCAGGTTTTGTGCAGATATCTGGAAAAAAGAAAAAAGTTAATGCTGAAAATGCAAGTCTTTCCAACTGTCAACAATTTTGTACTATTTAACTTCTAAACAACACCAATCTAAACAGCATCAGCTTGAAATCATAGCTTACAAGAGACAAAAAAGACAGATACAAAATGGCTGAACGAGACTTACCTTTTTCCGTTCCTGTCGAATGTTTTTTCGCTTGCTCTGCTTCATATCCATCAAGAATTCATCAAAACTACATGAAAAAAAAATCATTTCAGTCACTAACTTTTACGGAAAAAATTTGGTATTCTTATGAAGTTTCTAATGAAAATTTTCCCTTCATAAAATGAAAATACAAGGCTCATGCCTTAGATCTGTAAACATGAATATTGTTCAATCAGGTTGTGCCAGATCACATAGATTATGAATTGAGTAAAAGTTTCAATTCTATTTCTACAATAATTATCTTAACAAAGGACACAAGCTTCCGTACAACAAGGAAAGAAGAATAGAATATTCTACCCAATTAGATTATAGAAAAAAATAATTATTATGGATAATACTGTTTTAATTGAGTAAACGTTTCAATTCTATTGCTAGGATAATTATCTTCACAAAGGACACATGCTTCCGTACAACTTGGAAAGAAGATTTGTATTTTCTACCCAATTGGAGTAAGTAAGGATTAAATATTATAAAGTAGTTTATCATCTACTTCCTAGTTACATTGTCTCCTATACAAGAGTTGAAGTCAAAAAAAAAATGAAATAATAATAACTCACTTCTTATAATTGCGATTTTTCCAGTGATACTGCATCCCTGTTCTCTGTAAAAACCCAAAACTTTTCATCTTCTGCCATTCCGTTTCAGATGGAAAAGTAACATGCAATGATGAAACCTGTAACTGTCAAAAGATTCAAAAATATATTCATCATCCACAAGAACATCACAAGCTTTGCACACACGAGTCCTCTCCACGAAAACAGCTTCATCTTAGCAGTAACTACTGTAATAGACAGAATTTCACAGGAAATGTATAGCTTCTACGGAAAAATAGTCACAAGATATACGATAAACATGTATTTACCTTTGCAGTAAGGTCCTTTAATGCCAGGACTAGCATGTCAAAGACTTGATCCCGACACCAAATGTTACGGATCAATATCCTTGGTCCAGTTACCGGAGTAAAAGGGACACAAGATTGTAACTTTGGGTAATACTGCGAGCCATATCTGTAGTAAGCATCAGCCCAGGAGTGGTCAAAAACAAACTCTCCATTTGAGTGGCTGAAAAGAAATTAATAAGGTTAGCCAATAAACATCAAAGTATCCCGCAGGTATGTTTAATATGTTTAATAACAAGCAGATTCTTAAAAACCTTTTAAGATAAAGAGGTACAACACCTATGGTATTATTATATTCATCCTGAGCAACAACGTGCTGAGGCAACCATCCTGTTTCCTGAAAATATTCAGACAAATTACTAAGCAACCATGTGTGATGGTGATGCAGTAAGCTATGAACACAAGGCTAATAGTTGACTAGTTGTACATAAACTTGAAGGGTAGTTAAAAATGAAAGCAACTGTGACTGGTTTGGTCTCCTAGTTACTTTGAAGAAACCAGATGATGGATTTTTTTTAAGGCAATATTCAAATCATAGCACATTCTCCTATCAGCCAAACTGTGCAAAATATGAAAGTTAAATGATTCAAGAGTAAAAGGATGTTACATATTATGATCTACCCCACATACTAACACTTTTTCCACAATGCTTCCTCAAATCTGAAGGACGTACAATATGATATCAAATCAACCATGTAACTAGTTTATAGCACAAAATAGAATTAAAGTCTAAATTGTACAACAATAGGTCAGTGACAAGATAAAAATCCAAAATAAAGTACTTATGCAGCAAAAAATAGCTTGAAGATCAAAGAGAATAGCATACAAGAAATTTAAGTTTGTCATATGTTCCTGTGCAATGACAACAAAAAAATCTAACTAGAAAACTATACGTGAGTGATCATTCTCTAATCTCACGTCAAAGTCCACAAAGGAATAACTCTATTTCCTCAAATAAGGAATAACTCTCTTTCCTCAAATAAGTAAGCTACCTCTAGCACTCTCTCCTCCCTCTTGTTGTCTTTGATGACATTTTTAAATAACTAAAGGAAAGCTGTAGTATAGAAGCTATTTAAAATATACATAAACAAGCTAATCAATCAACAAAAATCAATAGTGGTTTAATAAAAGGACCCCGTCATCAATTAGATGGCTGACCTTCACTGCAGAACCTGATTCCTCTAAGCTCGTGAGGAAAGCATGGGTGATGAAAGGATCAAACTTTTCAGGGCCAGTTGCATCAATTGCACATGCATCCCAATCCTCAGCTGAGACTTCTGAGATTGATGAAATAACTGAAAGTGATACCTTCTGAGGCTTCATCTCATTACCTGATCTACCCTATGCATAGGAAAATGTTGACCAAATCATGCTAAGGGTTACAAAAGCTCAGTAATTACTTACAAAAGACATAACAAAAGGACACCTCTGGGGCTGACCCTATAAGAGGATGTGTCCCTAAGGAAGGATTTAGAACACGAGGCTCTGCAGTTCTCTTTGGCCCCCAAAAGATTGCAGCAATCTTATATGTTACACTCTCAAAGTGTCGTCTGCATAATGAATTATCCTATAATTTCAGAAAGAAAGAGCAAAAAGAAGCAGAAAAACAACAGTCAAATTACATCCATGGGATAAAACGACATAGTAAAAATAATGATCATAAAAGTTAAAAATTAGGACCTGCATTCATATGGATATAGCTAGTAAACACATGTTTAAATACATGAAGAATTAATCATATTTTTGGAGTCTCAATTGGATATAGTAACCTCTTCCGTGGTGTCAATAAAGGTCATGATGGGAAAAATGTAAACTAATTTTCCAGCATTAGGCTAGAAAAAGGAACTCAATTACTAAAGATGCATAACATTTTGAAAATAAAGTTTGACAAAGTAATCTGATGTAAAAAGGGAAAAAAAAAAAACTTTACCTAGTTGTGCGGTATATTGACTTACTAAGAAGAGGAACTTCAAGCTGAAGAAAAGAAGGTGAATCCAAATAGCATAAAACTAAAAGATTTGGGCTAAAAGGTCCACCCAAAAGCCTCAGAAATTCAGCCAAAAAAGTACTCTATTTTGGGCGTAATGTTGCTCCACTTTAAATCAGCTAATTCTCCTTTTGGAATAAGGGCAATTTAAAACTAAAAACCATGCAATTTTGTGCCTCTAGACAGAAATTCCTGAGACCATAAGATGTAGATTTAGCGTGCGAAGAATGGGTTCCAATATTTTGTCTAACTTCACCGAGCAAGGGTGCACCAATCCAGATTATAGCAGAAGTGACATACTATCAGGTCAAAACGTTATATAAAGAAATAACGAAAACAAATGTCTCTTCTCACAGAGAAATTTATCGGTTTGCATCTTGACTCTCAGGAGATAATAGGAATGAGTCGACAAACTGAAAATGCTACTAAAGGATGATTTACTCTCATTCACAGTTCTTCTTTCATATTCAGCAGAAGATAGAAAATAAGTGCCTGTGCGCTGCCTCTAGAGCCAATCAGACTCATCTCATGTTCAGGCTCCCAAATGAAGCTCCGTTAAAATCTAAATTATATAAAAAAAAATCTCTGAATCTTATTCTCATTGATACTACTTCGAATCATAATCATCTTAACAGGAAATTTTCACTTCCACGTCTAGTAAAATCTTAATTTTGGTGACAACTCCTCTTCATCTATCCAGAATTTTTAGCAGCAGCAGCAGCCTTAAAAGCTTCAAAACATGAATCTTTCATCTCTCACGAAACTTCCGCATCTAAGCCTAAAAAATCTCTTGATAACAGTAATTAGCTAAAACACCCATAAGTTCAATTTCTCTAAAGATACAATAGATTCGCAATTATGGGTCCAATTGCAGAAATAGAATAAGATTTACGCCAAAGAATAATAACAAGCCTTACATGCTGACGTGGCGAGATCCCGAGAAAGGGGCGATGGAAGCTGCAGGCCGCCATGGCTGCAGACATTTTACTGGATTTTCGTTTGTTGAGGGGGGAGTCGTTTACTGTATAGTTATCTAGTGATGAAGGTGGAGGAGGTTAAGTCTGGAGGAGGTTAAGTCACGTGGTTTCGCTCGTGATCACTTGTTGGGGACCGTCGGTATGGCCATCACGTGAGAGTCTCACACAGAGATCTCTGGGGTGTTCTGAGGGAAGAATGGTGACCGTTCAATTTCTGAGACTAGTCACTGATACGAGGCCATCAAATCTTCAATAACGTTTCATAGTAGCGCCTCAACTCTTTGAAATTGCTCAGAAGTCCAACACATCCGAGTTGATTTGTACCGATGAATGGTATAGATCACCCCATTCTATTAGAGTGCTTTGAGGAAAAAAATCGACACCTCTCAAGTTCTAAGTGGCCGTATTGGATCCGTTAACGCCTCTACCAACAATCCATGAATGGTTTAGATCACCTCATTCTATGAGTGTGTTTTGATAGAATGTGCACTTCTCAAATCCCAAGTGGTCCTGGAAATCTGTCCCTCAATGACCAAAATATCCCTCTGCTTATGTCTTATGTACGCACAAGTAATTTTGGGGAAAACATAAGCGGATAAGCTAATGGCATTTGGTCATGAAGGGACCAATTTCAAAGCTCCTCCATGATTTGAGCGGACTTATGAACAATTTCAAAGATATTAGGGACTAGTACGGAATTGTTGAAGATTCGAGGGATTAATATCTGAAAATGCTTTGTAAAATTGTGACAATCTAATTTGCTCATAATTTTTTGATTTGGATCCTCTTCATTGCCAAAAAAGAAATAAAGAGATTACTGTATTGATCATAATCATTGATTTATTTCAAGGATTATTATGATTTCATTCCACATCTAGTTAGGACTTCCCAAACCCCACAAAGTTTCGTTTGACAAGAAAGCTTTACAAAGTTGTGTGGAACTAACAGCAGAGGTTGACAGGTTAAGATTCAGGCAAACTGGGTGGCGGTCGACCGGCCCGGTCGACCGCATTCGTGCACATTGTTCACTGGGCTTCTCGACCGCCGCTGCGGGTTTCGGTTGGGGTCTGTTTCCAGACCCGTTTCGCTTGTAAGTTGTATATAAACCCTAAACTCGTTTCTAGGGTTAAGCTTTGAAGATTTTGAGCTGCTGAAAGGGGATTTTGAGGGTTTCTTTTGTTGGAGTCTATTGGAGAGATCAATTGGTCTTGTTTGAGGGTTTTGGGTAAGATTTGTAACCCTAATTTGTATTCCCCTTTGATTTCATTAGTAAAGCTTCCCCCTCATTGCCCCGTAGACGTAGGCACATTGCCGAACCACGTATATCTTGTGTTCTTGCTTGATTGTTTTGGCTTGTGTTCTCTTGTGGTCTACTATTGTTCTTGTGTGTGCTTTTGATTTGGCTATTTGGGGCTTCCGCGGCGCACAACAAGTTGAGGGTTTGTATAAAAACATCATAGATTTTTTTTGTTGCAGAATTTTCTAAACTACATATTTTGCACACAAATATGATCTTTGCATCCCAAAATTTTGTCATATCGTAACAATTAGTAACTTCTTAATCATATGTCCTAACTATTCACGAAGACACGAATAAAACTGACGGCCTCCAAATATTTAACATACTGCATCAACAAAATCTCCGGCTCTATGATTTTAACGACAAAAATTTCATTCAACATCTAAACTTCGCAAAACTCTGATCTACTGAACTTCAAACTAATCAACCCCACCCTAACTAACAAATTACTTGTTCACATTTTCTTCCTCCTCGATTTTCACAGAAGGAGAAGGAGGCTCTGCAGCAGGCTCTTGCTTGATTTCTCTCGCAGGCGGCGGCTCGCGTCGCTCCGTCTTGATTCTTTTCGTTGGAGGCCCGTAGCGATCGAAGGCGGCGATGGCGGAGGAGACGAGAACCTCTTGGAGCTGCATTTCGTCGGCGTACTTCTCGTCGGAGATTGGGAGGAGGTCATGGTCGTCGACGGCGAGAGCCATGAAGTAGGAGTCATCAACTTCGTCCATCTCTTCTTGTTACTGAGAGGGGGAGGGAGTTGAAGGGCTGATATCGATCGGTGGGGATTTTAAAGGTTTTTTTTTTTGGGGGGGATTTATCTGGTAATTTATTATTATTTTGCAACAGTTACGAAGGGAAGTTATGATGATTTGGCGGTTTCTATGTGAAGAAGTGAACCGCTGAGCTTCCCGGTTATTATTCTCCGCCTCCTGCCTGTTCGCAAATCTGATAAAATCATTTTTTTTTCTTGTGGCCTATTTAGTAGTAGTACCTCAAATCTTCATTAGTTCCATATTACTCCCTCAAATCGATGGAATGGCTCATCCCCATTTGGAGTATGCAAAGGTAAAAAGCTACAAATCTTGTCATAAGCTCTGTGTTAGAAAAGAAAAACTTTTAAGATATCAGACTTAAAAAATGTGCATGTTTTAGGGTATCAAGGTGTGAAAAAACCTTTTGGGGGAATAAGTTCAAAGGTGTAAATTTTAGAGTAGAAAGTTGTGTATATTTTAGGGTATCAAAGTGTGCAAAAACTTTAGGGTATAAATTCAAAGGTGTAAAATTTAGAGTACTACCAAAGTGCAAATAAATATTTTAAACAAAGATGTGTTTTAAGAAAGAAACATAATGGAGGGGTATTTTTGTCATTGAGAGACCATTCTGCAAAACCCCTTAGAATTTAAGGGACTAGTTAGCAATTATTGAGATTTGAGCGACTAATATCAAATCATTAAGATTTGAGGGGCTAATATCTAAATAACCCTTTTTTAATCCAAATTTTAAATTATTATTACCATTATTATTTGGTTTCATTAGATTAAGAATTAAAGAGGGGTCAATTTTTCATCTTGACAAAGGATTTTTGATAGGGTTAATTGCGAATAGATCACCTATAATATCACCCGGTTGCGAATAGACTCTATTTGTGTGAATAGACCCAATGTAGTTCTATTTGTGCGAGTAAACTTCCTGTGGTACTGGCTCATATACAAATACACTCTCTTAGGAAAAAAAATCAACTAAAAAATATAAAAAATAATAAAGATAAGCAATTGGAGATCTATTCTTACCATAGAACTATAGGTGGTCTTATCACCTCCTCAAAACCTTTTTTTATGGTTAAGATAAGAGTAATAAAAATATCATTCAAGAGGTCTATTTGCATAATTAGAACTATATGACAATTGGGTAATACTACAAAGCGTCAATTCAAAAGTAACCCTCTTTGATATGAGATAATGATGATATGATTTTGTTACCCGAAAAAATGTTGTATGCAAATCTCATGAAAACACAGCCTATTGGAGTAAGGTAGTTTCAATCATAAGGGTCAGCTTACTTTTATTTAACGGTTAAAATTCTTCTGCTTCGATACCTGAAGGAGATAATGGATCTTATCGATCAATTTAAGATAAACATTCTGTTTAAAATCAAGATGGATGCATGTATATAATCATCACACTGAAACATTAATTTCATAGAGAACATTTTCTATGCCACACATACCATCCAATATTACAAGAAACTTACACAACTCTTCACATTAATCAGAAATTTGAATCAGCTTAGATTAAAAATAAAAATCACAGATCAAATAATGCAATACTGTATATATATACACTCTCTTTACAAACACTCACAAACTATCTCTGTTACAGCTTTTCCTTCAATAAGCAATCTGAAACACAATTTGAGAACTGAAACAGCCAAATCTGCACTAAATAACATCTCTCCTTCTCTCCTCCAAAATCCCCCACCTCCTCTATTCTCTTGTTGCTCATATCATATGATACCAGCTTCCCATTCACCAATAAGTAAATCATCTCAAGCTCTGGATGAAAAGCCAAGAATCTTATCGAACCGACAGTTAAAGATTTCAGGCTAATATTATGCTTCAACACCCACTTGTAAGTATTCGAACCACTCTCTAACATCCAGACGCTTAATTTGTTATTGTCATTGCCTGAGAAGTAGCAGAGGCACCCTACACTGTTTCCTAAATGAGCACCATTCTTTGCTGGTTCAGGCAATTCAACTTGCTGGCACTGCATAGTTTCAAGATGAATGCGCAAAACGCAATGTGGATATGAAACTATGTGTAGGTTTCCATTGAAATAAGTCATGACAGGTGACACGGTAGAAGATTCGACTCCCCACCGCAAGTTGTGCTCGACCCACTTGCCAGTTTCTGATAAGAAGACCTCGAGCTTAGCTTCTTGATTCTGCCAACTGACGAAGCATATAACCCTGTAATTAGGGTTGCAAATGGATCAGATACGACACTTACCATATCCATATATGTTTACTGATCACGGATAATGATACAAATGTGACTAGGGTTCAACAAGGAAAACACGGATTATATTTGCCAAAATCAAATACAAATACGGATCAGATAAGAGGAAATATATACAGGCATGATGATGATATAAGAAATAAACACTTATAAGATTAAAAATATATCGACTGTTTGATAGAAGAGATGTTTAAATAGAACAAATTTGCTCAAAGTCAGTCTGAAAACTGTTTACATGTCTAAGAAGCTATTATTAGATTTCTGGATCATCGAAATTGTTCACAGATTCGTTAATCAAGGGTCAAAGAATTTCAATTGTCCAGTCAATACATATACTCAGATATATATCTGATATTTTACTTATATCCGTATCCTTATCCGGATGCCACCACAAATTAAAAAGATATCCATATCCATATTCGTATCCAATCGGATATAAATTCAGATGCAGATATATCCACACATATCCATATCCTTTTGCATCCCTACCTGTAATGCGGAGAGCGGGAAGGATCAAAAGCCAACACAGAGAGAAGGCTTGGCTTGTTCGAATCGGGCAAAGTGAACCATCTTTTTGTTGTAGGATTACAGACACAGAGAAGCTCGGAGAAAAGAGACTGGCAGAGAAGAAGTCCATTGCAGAAGCCGATAATCCTCGATTTAGAATGAAGAGGGAAAAAAACTTAGAGTTTCCGGTGCTGAGGTTGCTGTATACGCCTGAGATGGTGAAAGGAAGCTTCTTTTGGACGTGATCGCTGGAGATCAGATGATTCCATGCTTTTGATACACATTTTGACCTGAACAGAGACTCTGAAGGAAGCTTAGTCATGACCTCTACCAATAAATCTTCACAGAGATCGTGCTTTGAGCAGGCCATTATCTCTACACAGGATGGTGCTATGAGAAGACAGCCACACAATAATTCCTCATCAAACTTAATTTTGGATGGATATTCTGTTTCCTTTAGTGTGCCATGAATTCAATGTGTGTACTACTCTCGTCATTAGTGGAAAATTCTGCACCCTACAATCTTCTTAAAGCAACAAGTTGAGTGCAAATTGGGTTACTGTCGTTCTCGAATTGCTAGTCTCTTTTGCTTGATATGAAGTGTTACATATGCTGCAAGATTGAGAATGCTTGTAGTTAAAGTCCGCAGCTACCTACCTCAGAAACTATTTTAACAGTAAGCCAGTTACAGTACTTACCAACCACAAGATCGCC